ACAGCCTTTAACACACTTACCTAGCATGTTTTGGTTCCTGCAACTGGTCCGTCGGGTTATTGTCTCCCCAGAAACACTTCCCTTGTGCTTTCGGAAATCTGTGTTTCCTATTTCCGTTGTGTTTTGTGTGCTTTAGCGGCTGGTGTTTTTTTAAGTTGCAGTCCGTTTGGCCTCTCAGGGCCACCGTAGTAAATTACTAAATTTAAAATCTGTAAATTTTGTAAATTTCCTTATTGTAATTTAATGGTCGGGCTTTGCAATAAGCATTTCACCACATGTCGTACTGTGTATGTGTGTGAGACGAATAAAATTTGAGTATCTGCAGCGAAAAAGTCGAAGCGATGAAAGCAGAAAAACATCTGACCGCATGTTTGCAGCAAATATGATAAAGTGCTGATCTGGTCTGTGGTCGCGTACATCGCGCGGCGGCGTTGGGGGGATTTTGTCATCTGGCTTCTGCAATTAGCCGATCTGGGAAACTTCAGGGAGGAGAAGCAAAGTGTTAGCACAGCTCACACGGAGGACACGCGGGGAGAGGCAGAAAGAAAGGCAGCCGGAGAGTGTGGCAGTCTTAAACTGGGACAAAGACAAAATGAACAGTGTTGATTTGGCTCCCCTGGGCTTCCTCACTCTCCACAGCGTCCCCGTGCTGCCATCGCAAATGCTCCCAGGCATCAAACAGAAAGTTTATCACGGTTAAATTAACAAGTGTCATCTCCATATCCACTCATTGTGCTAAATGCTTTTATGTTTATGTAAAGCCCTTTTTGGAATTAATATTTAATGTTTATGTGCATTTTCACTGTTTTCCCCCTTCCTCGCAAATCATTAAACTGCCCCCCCTCTCCTTTTTGGAGGGGGGAGAATCAAAGCGAGCACAATGTCAGTCTACGAGGGGGAGGCTTACCCCCGAAGACTGTCAGAGGAGCCGGGATAGTGAGTTTACTGTGCGCACTGCAGCTTTGAACGGGTGAGAGCGCCGCGAACACTTTTTAATGAGGTGGGGACACAATCACTGTTTTGTTTTTTTACTTCCCGGCGTTTGAAAAACGGGCGATAAAGCGAAGAGTTGCAAGTTTCACCTTGGTTCACGGGAAGAGCTCAAATATCCTCCTTCGGTCACACGTAGCGATTAATTAAATTGCCAGATATTACAAATCAAATAGAGCCGTCGCGTGTTTTGTTAATAGAAATGAAAACGCGCCTCGCACAGGAACA